GCAACGGGTCAATCATGAGAAAAGCTGTTTTATCACATCAAAGGGTTGTACACTGGCGAGGAGGCAAATTATCTCACAAACCACTGGATTTCATCATAAAACACTCCTAGTCATCTACCTTGGAGCTTCACTATTTAAAGGACCGAAAAAGGTATCTTTTTTCGATGCTTTAATTAATAAGATTCGGACTCGTATCTCAGGTTGGGAAAACAAGATACTATCCCCAGGAGGTCGTATCACGTTGCTGAGAAGTGTCCTTTCCTCCCTTCCAATGTACTTATTACAAGTCCTGAAGCCACCGGTGACAGTTGTTGAGAAAATAGAAAGAATTTTCAATAGCTTTCTATGGGGGACTCAAATGAAAATAGAAAGATGCACTGGACAACTTGGAATAAAATCACATTTCCAATCTCGGAAGGGGGCCTGGATATTAGGAGTCTGACGGATGTGGTTGAAGCATTTACAATGAAATTATGGTGAAGATTTCAGACAACCCAAAGCATATGGACAGATTTTCTGAAAACCAGATATTGCCTTGGACAAATACCACACTATGTACAACCGAAATTACATGACTCCTTCGTTTGGAAACGATTGATTAGTGGAAGGAATGCTACAATGCACAACATGCGATGGAGGATCGGAAAAGGTGAATTATTCTTCTGGCATGATTGTTGGATGGGTGACCAACCTTTGGTAAATTCGTTCCCCTCTCATCAAAAAGATATGTCCTATGTCAATACATTTTATAATGATGCTAATTGGGATGAGGATAAGTTGTGATCCCTTTTACCTGTGAATCTAGTTGTAGAGATTTTGCAGATACCTTTTGATAGATCACGGGATGATACTGCTTACTGGGCATTGACTATGGATGGGGAATTCTCAACTAGGAGTGCTTGGGAGACAGTCCGAAGATGCCAAACACCAAATGTTATGAGAACTCTACTTTGGCATAAGAGCATTCCGTTATCCATATCTTTTTTCTTATGGAGAGTATTACATAAGTGGATCCCAATTGAACTTAGATTAAAGGAAAAAAGCTTTCAATTAGCCTCCAAATATATGTGCTACAATTCAGAGGAGTCCTTAATACATGTCATATGGGGAAGTCTGGTTGCGAAGAAAGTTTGGATGTTCTTTTCAAATCTCTTTCAAATTCAAGTACTGAACCCTCACCATTTTTCTCAAATATTATTGGCATGGTATTATTCTGGAGACTACGTTACAAAG